TGCTGTTCCGCGACGAAGACAAGCTTTGAACAACGGGCGTAGTCGAACGGTACACACTCGGTAAGTAATCCTATAATTTTTTGTTTATAGCATAGTTTATACGGATTACTCCCAAAAAATTATACGTGTTTTGGAAATGTTGAGTCGAATTAGTCTAGAATCGGTTAATTTTATAGAAGAAAACCTTTCGAACAGCCTTAGTCCGTAAAGTTCCCACCTATCGGGCTGTGATTGGCTCATGTATTTAACCGTTCCTACAACGTAATTTTCGGTTAGCGTGGAACGTATCTAAGCGCTATAGGGGGGTCTACTGTATTTATATGCGAAATTATACCCCGACTTACGCGAATTCGACTTACGCGGTTTCCGCTCAGTCCCACCTATCGTGTAAGTTCGGGGTATTACTGTATTAAGTATACTTCTGATACTTCAATACAAATAGCACTTAGTATTAGTGCTATTTGTAGTTAATAATATCTGTAATACTTTTATTTGTAAATAATTAAAGTATAAATAAAAATTTGAAACCCAAAAGTATGTACAATATAAAACTTATTTTTGAAAACCATACACAAGAAGAGTTAATTTTTCATATAGGTGTATACACTTCAAGCATATTTTTATTCTTCTTTAATCTAACTTCCTGAAAAGTTTACGTATATCACATTCAATAAAATATTTCATAACATTGTAATGTTTTGTAATCTGTAATTAGAAATTCGTATTGATTATGTTTTACTCTTAAGTACATTTCATTTTTATAAAATTCTTATGTATAAAATATATTTGCTGTTCACTCAATTATGTTTTCTTTTGAAATTTTTTTCATTACAGCACGTCTTTACCGTTTTGTGTATATTTACGAATCCCTTTTTAATCGTTGTTACAATAGTGGTATTGTGGCAGTATTATAAATGGGCCATTTTTGTTGGAATATCGCTGATATTTTTATACATCCCCATACAAATTTTATTTGGAAAATTATACTCAAAATTGAGGTAATTAATACTATTTGAAACTATTTAATTGTAAATTATAAATTTAGGTAATTATCATTTAACAATTGTTAATCTAAACGGTGAGTATAAATTAATTATTATCTACTGAAAGAAATTTTGCATTTGTTATTAAATTATTATTAAGAAATATTAAATAAGTTTTATATAAAATTATGTTTTTCTATTATTTGAGTAATATTGAGAAAGCTACGCTGCAGTGTGTATTGTTGATTGTGTTTGTTTTTTGACCTTTACAACTTGTTAATTAGTTTCGAGGCTGTATTTGTACATAATTACTTGTGAACAAAAGCCTGTTGCATAAAATGTTTTAGATATTAGACGTGTTAAATGTTAAAATTACAAGTAAAATGAGCACGCTATCAACTTTTACTGGTTATAAGCAATTTTAAATGTATAAAATTATGTATAATCAAGTACAGTAGACCCCCCCTATAACACGGGTTCATATAGTTCGGATACCTATATGACGGCGAAAAAATTGCGACTGTATTCGTACAAACACGCTAAAAAAAACTCGTATAATTCGGTAAAACGTAATCGCTGACTCGTGTCGCGACAGGATTGGTCGAATCTAGACCAATAGCGGATATTGCACAAACCGTTAAGTTTAAACGAGCAGCGGACCTACTAAAAACCATTTATTATTTAACATCCATAAAAATTATATTTATATTAATGATGTCTCCAAAGTTCAGCAAAGTTTTTCGCAGAAAAATAATTTATCAGTAAACACGCGAGCGCCATTCGATGACAAGTCCACGACGTAAACAAGCTGAAGCAATGATGTCGTCGAACGGTGCACACTCGGTAAGTAATCCTACAATTTTTGTTTATAGCATAGTTTATATGGATTATAGCCAAAAAAAATTATACATATTTTAGAAATGTTCAGTCAAATTAGTGTAGAATCGATTAATTTTATGGAAGAAAACCTTTAAAACAGCCGTAGTCCGTAAACTGCATACGTGTCGGGATGTGATTGGCTCATGTATTTAAGGACTCGTAGAAAATGGATTCATAAAAACCGGAACGTATCTACCGTGTTATAGGTGGGTCGACTGTATAAGCTACGTTCATTTTAAATAACTATTACTTTACTACATATTTATTACAGAAAATCTGTTTAACAATTTACAAAGTAGCACTTGTAAATTAAAAGAATTTATTTAAATAAAAGAAGAAAACTATAGATGGAAAGTTGCCTTCAGAATTTTTCCATCAATAACAGGATCAAATATAGCGATTTTTGTCGTCCTCTACGAAGCAAAAAATGGTTGACTGAGTGACACATTATTGTAATGAAAGCGGATATAAGTAGATTTCTCGTTCTACTAAAAAAGAATAATTACACATCTCTCATGCAGCAGTATATCGTGGACACAGATTGCGAACCGGTTGATTTTTAAATTGATTACAGGCTCGGTTCACACGTATCACACATACATCTCTTGCCAAGAGGTGGAAGTGAAACAGGGCGGTTGTTGCCTCACTAGACGCATCTAGGTTATTTTTCCCATGTAATACGTTTCTGTCTTTCATCAAAGGAATAAGCCATATCTTATATAAGAGTTGACCTCTATGTCTTTCTAATGTATAATACGTTTTTTACGCTAAAAATTCTCCAATTTTTCAACTAATTTTAATAGTGTAAACATTATTCTTATTAAGTTAAGTAACTCTGTACAACTGCACATAATGCTTAAACCATAAACATTTCTTATTCATAATTTATGCTTATGATTAAATGTAATATATATGTGTTTATGAATACATTTATATATTATTAGATTACAAGCAGCTATATTGGGAGACAAAAGATTAAATCTGTTGAATGAGATGATCGCTGGTATGAGATTAATTAAAATGTACACTTGGGAAATGCCATATGCTGCGTTAATAGAGAAAATCAGAATGTAAGCATAAATATATTTTTCATTAATTAATTTTTTGTTATTTTAATAATTTTAAAAATTTATACACAACTGTTTTTTATATTTGCAGAAAAGAAATGAAAATTTATATATATTCGAGGGATATCATTAATATTGGGATATCCTTTATCAAGATTATTTTCTTGTCTTATTTTTTTAGCGATTTTCTTAAGTGGTGGTCGATTAACTGACGAAATTGTGTTTGTCACTATGAATTTTTCGATATACATTTACTTAAGTATTATTGCATTGTTTTCTCTTGCAATTAATGTTGTTGCAGAGATTTTTATTTCATTGAAGAGACTGCAGGCGAGTCAATTTTATGTATCAATGTTATATTACGCCTGTTTGATTTATTAAAAACTTATTTTATTTTCAAATGTTAGTTAATGAAATTAATATTTCGGCTTATTTATTTAGGACTTTCTGCTACTCCAAGGAAAAGATAATATTTCAGCCAAAGGTATAGAAAAAAATCAAAAATTAATTGAAATTAATGGTATTTGGATGGAAAGAGTTCAAGCTGCGTGGAATAAAGTAAGAAAAACTTTATGTTTAGTTTATATTAGCTTTAAAATAACTTTAATATGTCTTTCAATTTCTATTATTAATATATAATATTGAAGATGTAGCAACGATGAAAAAATAATCTAAACTGGATGATTCATAAGTCTTTCAAGATAGCGGCATTAGCAAAAGTTTTCTATAAAAATGCGTATTTATAATATGTATCAATACATGAATACATACACAAACTTCAAAACAAAATACAAGTTAATGGGAAAAATACCGTTTTGTTGTTGCATATACAGTCTTAAATTGTTTGCACTAAAAATTGTGAATACATCAAAATACTTCCGAATAACACGGTACGTGGATACATTAATAAGACTTCCATACAATAAAATGATTCAATTTTTAGTAGTTAAATCCAGTTATGTTGAATTGAATGGCTATCATATGATGTGATGAAAATTCATTACTTTACATTTTTTAAGTAGTTTGATTTTACAGGGTATGTCCTAAGTGTATGATACAATCTTTCATGATATCTGATTTGAAAACACGGTATTAGCTATTTTTCTACATAATCGCTTTTCTCATGCTAATCAATTTTCCCATGGAAAACAATCTATGCTCATTTTAGCCAATCTAAGTTGTAACATTCATTATGACTGACAATATCTTGCAGTAGCGTATCAACTTGCAAACTGCATGTAATTGTGTATCCTTGTTTGTATTCAAAATATATATTTAAAGTTAAATGGAATATTATTATATAATAACGTCAGGGTATGTACTTTTCTTACGATTATCATAGGGTAAAGGAATTAATGTAGACTATCCAGCTTGAAATCACGTGTTTAATTACGTGACAGGTGCATAGAAAAACAGTATTTCGCGTATGTCGGTAGGTTAATGCTAATTGTTATTAGATCCAAAACAAATTATGAATTTTGACTGAGAACTAACTGTTTTTCTGAATAACCAGAAATGGTTTAGATACCATATGGTATATATATAGGAAAGTAACAAAGAGCTGTAAAAAACATATTAGACAGCATAGCATACGGCAGTAAGAGAAATAGAAAAATGGGTTAATTTATCCATGCTAGCAAGAACAGAGAAATACAGAATGCGATCACAGTTTGCTACAAAAACGTCAATCTATAGTATGTAAGAAAACGGATGAGTTTTCTCACAATAAACTGATGATTTTCGCGCAATATATTAATGTTTTGCCTGTAATATCAATATGTTAGTAAAAAAATATTTCACTCTTCATGAACAAGTATAAATAAAGAAAGGTAACAAATAATCTGTATCCAAATCATTAGGTTCGAGAACAAACTGCAAACTATACAAATAATATCTAGCCAATACTTTTGTTTCTAAACGCAATGTTTTCCATTCATGTCAGGATATGTGTATATAGAAAAAAGGAACAAGAAAACTTTTCCATAAACTTGCTTATGAAGGCACATTCTAAGTGACGTAAATATTTGTGGATAAATATCACAGATCATGCGAAATAGCAGGCTACGTAAATACATTGGTTATACAACCATGTACAATGTGTTATCTTAAATCGCATAATGTCGTATCGAATCGTCATTCGCCTCTTCATACTTCACATCAAATTGTTTGAAAAATAGGAAAATATCAAAGAGGTATCAAACTAGTGTAAAATTGTACACAAGTGACAAAAATGATAAAAACAATGTACTTTTCTTTCAATTGAATCATCTGTTTCTATTAATATTTATTAATTTTTTTTGTTGACGTCTAAATAGACAAGAGGCTAAATGCAATACCTTGCTATTCTGATAGACAAACTTTCTGACAGTATAAAATTATACCATACTGACCGTGGGTAAGAACTTATTTTTAGTAAAAGAGTTAGAACGATTCTTCGTTATTTTTCATACACTTTTTCCATTGAAAAAGAACTAAACATCTATAGAATGCTGATGATTTGTACCGATATTAACTATACTTATTGTAGGCTCATAAATTCATATTAGTCCTTGTTATAGGAGTAGTAGTGGTTTGACACATACTGATCACAAAATTAATTTCATGAGTAAATTTCAAATAAAAATTTGTTGAATGGAATTATTTCAGATCACAAATCTTAATTTTATTTTAACAATAAGGTTATATTAATTATTAAATTTTAAATTAAATTAATTTTATTTTAACAATAAGACTGTATTAATTATTAAATTTAAATTTTATATTATTTTAACAATAAGTTTAATTATTAAAATGTTTTTATAACTTTGAATTAATACAGTATATTCTTTCTAATTATTATAAAATTAATTTGCAATAATTTCAGATAAAAAATTTCTTGAATAAATTAAGATAATAAATATTTATAAAACTTTCAATTCATTTTCATAAAATATCTTGTAACAATAAGACAAAGTTTCTGTATTATATCGAATAAAATTAAAACCCAATAATTGTATGAAATAATATAACACCAAAACAAAATTATTTTTGAATTTTATTTTTTTATTTTTACATTAANTGCATTATTTAAAGTTAAGTTTAAAAATATCAAATTATTATTTATAAGGAAACCGAACTAACATTGGATGGTATATCGTTACAAGTACAGCCTGGAGAATTATTAACTGTTATCGGCCCTGTTGGATCAGGAAAGGTATAAATCTTGAATTTTTATTTTTATATTTTCTAATATATACTGTGTTAATTAAACATTACGAGAATATACATAAAACATAATAAACACATTCATTCATATTATACTTATTAGCCTGGTGATTCGAACTTCTGATATCATTCATTCCACTGGCTTTTCAAACTGAATTCTTTGAAGTTCGACTGGATCTTCCCTATTAGAAAGTGAATTAAAGAATTTCTTTCGATAAACTTAAACAAATAATTTAAGGAAACTAACACTAATAAATGCCGTGAATGATAAGTTAATTAAAACAATGTAATAATACGTATCCTCTGCATAATAAAATGACAATAGCATTTGCTGAGGTTGTATTGATGTCCCATTAATTAACATCAATGTGTGACTTGCTAAGCTGTTTTACAGAATTTCCATTTTTAGATTATATCAACAGCCAAATTATTTTCATTTATTCATAGTGAAAGATGTTTCTCTAATTCTCCTATAACTTGCAATGTTCAGGAGATAAACGTCGTCACTCTTTTAACCACATTTGCTACTTGTATTGCTACCTTTTCTTTAAGAATGGTGCACGTCATTGACTCTATTATCGTAACATATTCACCAGATCTGCAACACTTACGCCTTTTATAATAAGTTCGATAAATTCGTTTTACTCCTCAATAATCGATATTACATCCATGTTTCATTGCTTTCACACTCATCGTAAGTGCTCATTTACATGTGTATACTGTGTATATATATATATAACAAAACAAAAAAAGTAAAAGGAAAGCATACAAATACACGAGAATAACGAAATAAATGCATGCAGAGCGAGAGTGAGATTTACAGACAACTTACATCCATCAAACATGGTAATTACGCAGTGAGCATCTAAAATTTTTGACCAAATTGCTGATACCATTGTCGGCCTGGACTAACCATAATGTTTACGTTGAAATGATCCTGTTTATGTCTAAATGGTGGACTTATTTTTAGAACATTAAATGAGTTTAATACGAATTTATATTAAAAATCGCGAATCAATTCTTTACGAATGTATAATTAATATGGGGTGCAAAAAATTATGTATTCATCTTCAAACAGAATATTACGATATAGGTTTCAGACCAGCGATGTGTTGTCCTTTGGCTATTCAATAATTGCACAATACTTCCAGCAATGTTGCACTTAATTTTTTTACAATGTTTTAATGTTGGCAAACTTTCACTCTATTTGAATGTCTGAAACAGTCTCACCGAATTTGAAGCTATTATCAAAGTTGAAGAAATAATGAACCTTTACATCGGTACAAATAATACTATTTAGATGACCCTAATGACACTATGTAGGTGGTTTTGTATTCAACGCTGTGTACAGAGATTTTCAAATGTCCACATTTAAGAAAATCTGCTTTAATACACAAAACTGTAATTAGTTACTTATCGTTACACTGTACTGTAAATATATTTTCAAGTATATATTTAATATATTGAAAAGAGTTAACATATATAAGAAAAATATATATTATATATAATGGATATTAAATTATATGCATATATATTGTTATTTTTACATATAAATTTAAAATATACTTTATAAATATTAATATAATTTTAAACGGAAAATATAATTTATAGCTACATCAGCAATTTAGTAGCGAAGGTTATATATTATAAAAATTATTATTATTATTTTTTTCATTAGACATCTTTACTAATGTCACTATTAAGCGAAATTCCTGTTATCTCCGGAAAAATATCAGTGAAGGGAAAAATAGCTTATGCTTCACAAGAGGCGTGGATTTTTAATGGCTCTATAAGAGAAAATATCTTATTTGGAGAAGAATATCAAGAAGAGAAATACAGATATATTATACATATAACGGCTCTTGAAAAGGTAATAAAAATTATATTAATTCTACTAAAACTAGTTCGGTTCAATTCTTAATCATTTGAACACGAAATTGGTTTAATTCTGTATTAGAAGCATGAACCTGTCGTAGCAATTTATTAGTGTGACGTCTCACAGATGGCAGTTTTTAAATTAATATTTTAAAATCATTCACAGAACATCTTTAATTCTCGAGTTTTGTTTACTTTTTAATAATATAAAATACAGATAGACTAAAAAAAAAACTCTTATTTCTGATATTTATTTTCATGTAACTCGATTATAAAACCAAAAATAAACATATCAAGTTGTATACTTTTGCAACTTATCTGAAGTTTCATTCAGTGTCATGACATCTGTTTGAAGTTTGAGAAGAATTTGAAGGTCAGGGCAAGAAAGCATAATTAGTTATTTTGGACAGAGAGAGTCATTAACACCTCCTAGTATTGATGCCAATAAAGTGCTAATTGTTTCATGACTGAATAAATGAAAACTTTTTTCTGGTTACAAATTAAAAATTCAGTACAAANATGTCACTATTAAGCGAAATTCCTGTTATCTCCGGAAAAATATCAGTGAAGGGAAAAATAGCTTATGCTTCACAAGAGGCGTGGATTTTTAATGGCTCTATAAGAGAAAATATCTTATTTGGAGAAGAATATCAAGAAGAGAAATACAGATATATTATACATATAACGGCTCTTGAAAAGGTAATAAAAATTATATTAATTCTACTAAAACTAGTTCGGTTCAATTCTTAATCATTTGAACACGAAATTGGTTTAATTCTGTATTAGAAGCATGAACCTGTCGTAGCAATTTATTAGTGTGACGTCTCACAGATGGCAGTTTTTAAATTAATATTTTAAAATCATTCACAGAACATCTTTAATTCTCGAGTTTTGTTTACTTTTTAATAATATAAAATACAGATAGACTAAAAAAAAAACTCTTATTTCTGATATTTATTTTCATGTAACTCGATTATAAAAGCAAAAATAAACATATCAAGTTGTATAATTTTGCAACTTATCTGAAGTTTCATTCAGTGTCATGACATCTGTTTGAAGTTTGAGAAGAATTTGAAGGTCAGGGCAAGAAAGCATAATTAGTTATTTTGGACAGAGAGAGTCATTAACACCTCCTAGTATTGATGCCAATAAAGTGCTAATTGTTTCATGACTGAATAAATGAAAACTTTTTTCTGGTTACAAATTAAAAATTCAGTACAAAATACAGGAAACATTACAGAGAAAATCAAAGTTTTATGCTCACTGTTTAGGGGAGATCGGGGCAACTTCGGCATGCAGAGCAAGTTTGTCAAGCGCTTTTTTTAAAAAACAAATTAAAAGGAGACTTTGGTTATAGGTTAGGCAGTTGAGTTTTATTGGTGGCTTGTTGAGTGTAGTGTTTTTATTGTTCTCCAACAAGCGTAGTTGAATTATCAAGCAAATTTTCATTTTCGTTCAATTCCATATAATATTTTTTTTCCATTTATATTGAATTGGCAGGTTTTGTTATAATTCCATGATAACGAAAGTTACTTTTCCTGTTAGAAGGATGTAACTTCAACTTATTCACGTGGCCAGATCGTGGCTTGGCATTCTGTTCTCAGGGTTGTACTTAATGTTTCGAAATCATGACTAGCGGGGTAAGATCGGCAACATAAAGCCACATTAGAAGCAAAGGATAAAAATCAAACAGATGATAAATGAAAACATGTTTGCATTTGTTATTCATGTATATATGTCTTTGAACTTGCATTTCGTTGTAATAATATTAAATGGGTGTTGGATTTGTATTTCTTTGTTTTAATAGTGAATTCCAACTTATACATTGTTAATAACATAATTTTATATACGTGCCTATCTTGCCCCATTACTGTTGCCCCTATACCAGGGGCAACTTTAATAAAAATAATTAAAATAATTACAACTTTACAAAAAGAGAGAAGTTGCCGATCTTGCCCCTATACCCGGGGCAACTTCGTCAATTTCTCTCTTCTTGTAAAGTTGTAATTATTTTAATTATTTTTATTTCCAAACTGATTTTAACCAGTTCTATAGTAAGGTAACATTCCAATAGACAATATGCAAAGCTTTTTTTTCAGTTTACAGCAGTATTTATTACACAAAATTTAAGTAAAGCTTAACATGCCGATCTTGCCCCGATCTCCCCTAACTGAATTTGTTGTTGAGTGTGAAAGAGTTGATTTGCTACATTGTAGAATTGCTCTATACTTTTTCTTCGTGATTATTTATAATAATGCAAGTATATTCATATTTTCTGATTATTTTTAGTAAAAATTGTAAATAGATACAATAGTAATTTTTCTTAATGGTTTAGCACACTAATTTAATCTTTGTAAAATTAAGAAAAAATATTTTATAAATTACTAATATTGACGTTTTATTTCCATTTCAACTTATTTCAGGATATAAGTTTATTTCCTAAAAAAGATTTGACACTTGTAGGAGAAAGAGGAGTGATCATGAGTGGTGGGCAGAAAGCAAGAATTAATTTAGCAAGGTAAGTTTAATCGTGTATTGTGTGCAACTTTTACTGCAAATATATGTATTTGAACGGTGTAACTTAATCTAAATATAATGAAACGGTGTAATTGAACTGAGGTAAAGTTAGTTACTTTTTACTTAGTGCGATCCTTTACTTGGAAACAATAAAACCACGTCAATTTAACCTTTAAACCAGATTTATGAAACATTCTGTATAAGTACATAAAATTTAATAAATATCAAAAAATGCTTTGACATACACTTTCCATTCTTTATTTGTACAGAATGAAATATTTTACATTTTTCAGAGCATTATATTTAGATGCAGATATTTTCCTTCTTGATGATCCACTGAGTGCTGTTGATGTTCCAGTAGCAAAAGAGATATTCGAAAAGTCAGTACACAAATTGTATTTTTAAACCTGTAGAAATGTTTATAGTTTTAAATGTTGTCTTTTTTCAGGTGTATAATAGAATATTTGAAAAACAAAATTTGCATTTTAGTTACACACCAAGTACAATTTTTAAATTTCGCAACTAAGATTTTAGTTTTAAACAAGGTGAGTAATGTAAATAAATATATTTTTTACTTTCCTGGTTCTTATATATAGGGTGATTATAATTTAAGTTTCACTTTTAAATGCCATAAATTGAAAACTACTGAACCGAATTTTATCAAACTTGGTAATAATGTACAGGACAGCATGAGGTTTTATTTCCAGCAAAAAATAGTTCAAAAACTCACCACCTACGGAAAATGGCGCTGTCTACAATATTGTTAAACGAAATAAGGCAAAAAAGGCATCGTTGAAAATGTTTTTAATTGGTTTTAAAACGAAACTGTTTACGGGTTTATGCAAAATCACAATGGCTTACAGCAGGAAAAAAGTGATAAGCTGAGAGATACTGTTGAGAACACAGAAATGGGATGTAACTTGCTTATCAAAAATAGTGAATACCACATTGGACATGGTGTGTAACGCGTTTTAAAACCGATTAAAAACATTTTCAACTATGTCTTCGTGTCTTATTTCGTTTAACAATACTGCAGACAGCGCCATTTTCCGTTAGTGGCAAGTTTTTGAACTATATTTTGAGGAAAATAAAATCCCATGACGTCCTGTACACCGTTACCAAGTTTGATAACATTCTGTCCAGTAGTTCTCATTTTATGGCTATTTCTAAGTGAAACTTTAATTATACTCACCCATATAATAGAGGAAAAGTATGGAAATCGGTAATTTTTTTTTTATAAAACTCATTCATACCCTCAAAGTCAAGCTTTTTATAATTTTATAATAATTAAAAATATAAAATATTTTAAAAGTAAAGTATTATAACATGTGGCACTAACAAATGTTGCCAGGAAAGTTAAGCAACTTGTTTCTGCATATTTTATTTATGAACAGAAGTATATAAAATAACAATTATATAGTGTAACTGAACATTTTATTGATATTGCGTCTTAATCTTTTTCTTCCAGATAGTTTTAAATTATATAAAATTATAAAAAATTATAACCATTAATTTAGTTAAAATAAGGCGCCTAATATTTACTTTTAGTATAAAATTACTTAATATTAATTAATAAATTAGAAGTGTTATAGCCCGATTATTTAGGCTATCGTTTGGTGATGATTGTTATCAAATTCCTTAAGAAAACGTACTTTGTAGTCTGGAAATATGTCTGAGTTAAATTGGCCAGTGATCCTTTTTTAATATTTGACTCTAAATAGAGAGAAGAGTGAAATGTACTGAGAGATTATAAACTTTCGATCGATTTCTATGAAAATAGAAACAAAATCATTTGTATTGAAGCCTTGTGAAACATTCTGATCAAAGAGGAAATCGTTATCTTTGTGCATATTTCTGAAAATTAACAAACATGGAAGTACAGACTTCCCGGATTTTCAAAAATTTTGATCTTTCCATGGCCAATATGAGATTGTTGATTAAGAAATTCATGTGCCCAAATATTATATACGAGATAAACTTCCAGGAGACCAAACAGGTGAAATGGTCCAGTGTATCAAAATACAATAACAGAGTCTATTTCTACAACCAGAAGACTAAGCTAGGTGCTTACATTGCGACAATGTAAGCACCTAGCTTAGTCTTACTGTAGATGATGTGTAGATCCTCCATTTAAATCTGATGAGACATGCATAGCGTGTATGGGTATTGTATAATCCGGATGAGAAGGAGGACTATGTTATGCCAAATGATGTCATGACCTCTTGAAGTCTATAGAACAGGAGAATTTGATTGCATTTTCACGTACATCAATTCACTAAAACATGCACTAACCACAATGATTTTCTTTTTCGTTTCAGCTTGCTTACCAAGACTTACAAAAATAATTTTGTTACCATTTTCACAAAAATAAAAAAAGAATTAGGGCTTCACCTGGTATTTACCACAACCCCTAGTAACGTCTGGCATCCAGACCTTAAAGGCAATTAATGGATCTTATTCCGTTAGAAACAAGATTTATTCGATCTGAATGACTGCTTTCTGTTGATCATTTTCTTAGGTACAAATATACCATTATAATAAATAAGAAAGGTGATGCCAATTGCGTTCAAATAGAACTATCAGGACTTTGTCTTTAAATATTATCAAAACAAAATTGACAAAAAATGTAAGAAAATTATTATTAATATTAAAAAACATTAGGAGTAAAAATGGATATACAGTCGACCCCCCTATAACGCGGGTTCATATAATGCGGATTTGTATATCGCGGCGAAAAAATTGCAACCGTATTCGTGTAAAGACGCTAAAAGAGACTCGTAAAATGCTGTAAAACGTCATCGTTGACTCGTGTCGCGACAGGATTGGTCGAATCTGGATCAATAGTGGATGAGCAGCCGAACTACTTACATGCTACCGAGAGTTTAGGCGGGTAAGTTGAGTTTACTATCGTCTGTACAGTATATAAATTACGTACTGTAAGTCTAATACAGTACTGTAATTTTATACATTTCTTTATTCAATGGCCATAAAAATTATTTCTATTAATGATGTCTCCAAAGTTCAGCGAATTTTTCGCAAAAAAATAACTTATCAGAAATCGCGTCCGCTGTTTGGTGCGCTGCTCCGTGACGAAAACAAGCTTAAGCAATGGCGTCGTCAAACGGTGCACACTCAGTAAGTAATCCTACAATTTTTTTTTGTATATAGCATAGTTTATACGGATTATTCCCAAAAAATTAGAAGTGTTTTGAAAATTTTGAGTAAAATTAGTCTAGAATCGATTAATTTTATGGAAGAAAACCTTTCAAACAGCCGTAGTCCTTAAACTGCACACGTGTCGGGCTGTAATTGGCTCATGTATTTAAGGATTCCTACAACGCGAAAAATTCTTATAAAGTGGAACGTATCTACCGCGTTATAGGGGTTGACTGTAATTATTAATAAATAATACGTTATGAAATGGCATAACCTGCAAGCTGATTTTCGAATTAAAGAACTTTGGTCTGATAAGTCGTTTCAAGTAATAAAAAATTAGTAGCACTAATGAATATAAATAATAAAACAGAATAAAAAGAAATAATAATAAATTTGTCAAATAATTTTTACAAATTATACTTATGAATTGTATGGTGTGTTGTAGTAATAAATCAATGTCAAGAATATGATAAATAAAAATTGTTATTTTATAAAAATTCTTTACATAGAAAATATTTAAATACTTATTGTATAACTTTTCCTTTATATTTATATTTAAAACTAAATATTAATATATTTATACACTCCTCAAAAGTGAAATGAAAATATAACGAAGGAATGCACATAGCCACATGCACATTGCAGGACGAATGAAGGTGACAGACAAATATAATACATAAAAAAAACAAAGATAGGCAACAGACACCTATTTAGTCCGTTACAATATTGTCCCACAGAGAGCTGTATAGCGAGACTTACTATCAATGAGGCGATTAGTTGTTGTCTGAGGTAGCCGTTTCTAAGCTGGTTCCACTGTTGCACACATGTTGTCTATGATATGTGGCAGTGATCCCTTGTACAACGCACATCAAACATCATTCCACAGGTGACCGATATGAGAGAGATCCGGTAAGGCTGCCATCCAGGAAATGATGTAAATTCCATTTATGCTAGTGAGAATTTGCCGTGTAATGTATAGTCAAGCATTGTCTTACTGTAATATCGTGTCAGGCGCAGCCTGCACCAGTAGCTACACCCCAGGCAACCTATTGATACAGTACATACACGACTGCGTGGTTCAGATTTCTGATAATTAGTATTGAGAATTGGTGCCAGGGCTGTTTTCTGATTTATCATGACACCTCCCGAACTACGAAGCTTGGTGTGGGACCGGTGTGATGCTTAGAAAAAAGGACCGGCATGTAGCATTTCCCAGGATACTACTACCACACCTGTCCAGGTTAGTCATTCTTCCACAGGCAGAAGCAGGATTCACCTGTAAACAATAAACCGATAATATTCAGTGATCTACTTGCGATGAAAATGACTCCATGTCAACCAGGTAGCCCTGAGTCCCGAGCTTATTAACGTCTCTATAACTGGTTGTCGTTCATGCAGTGTAACTTCAAGCAACCTGTTGCGAATGATTTAGGTTAACTCAGCTGCACCCTATGACAGCGACATGCACCTTGAGATATCACGTGCCGTGAGGGTTGTTATCCATCGGTTCGATTCACTTTTTCTTTGGTATAACTTCAGATATTTTCTGTCTGTCATCTCACACATCACTGGATGGTACTTATGCCGTGCAGGTCACGCATGGCAACAGTGCGCGTCGACAAATTATGGTCATGCAGCTATAGAATAAGGTCTTTTTTTTCCAGCCAATAACTAATGGTATTAATTAAGCTCTCTGTTGTCTCTAAGGAATTTTCTATGCTTCTTCAAACGTTAGGCCTTAAACTGGATATAACATGACTTGAGCTGTATGCAAAGTTAATCATTTTCATATCTTTCTAACCATTTCCGGTATTCAATTTCCTTTAGGCTACACATATTCCTTCGTAGTGTTGCGATTTCACATTTAAAGAGTTTACATTTATATATAGATAGTGTATTATTTATATATTATATATACATTATACAAATTGTTTACGATTTTTTCTTAGGGAAGATGTAAAGCTCTCGGTAAGTATAATGAATTAAAAAACTCAGAAAAGTATTTAGGAATTGCATTAGAAAAAATTACCTCAAAGCAAAACATTGAACTGCCAAATCCAAACTCCACTTTTAATGAAGAAGAAACCTTTTATAATAAACAAGTCGGCACGCTTCATGATAATTACGATATCATCAATAATGAGGTAGTAAGTAATTGTTGATAATATATTTAAATGGGCCGGATGGCCACGCAGTAAAGGTGGCAGCCTAATATTCTGGGGAATCCGGGATCGAATCCAGACGGGTCAAGGAATCTCCAGGAATTTTTTAGTGGTGTGGTCCGTTCGGATATGCCGGGTCCTGTCCCTCACCACCCGGTCGCCCCATTGTGGGCCTGGCCAAGCTTACAATGAGTCTTCTATAAGAGGCCTCTTAGTGCACACAGGGCAGAAAGAGTAAAATATATATATATATATATTCAAATGTAATTTTCATTGTTTTTGTTGTTAATGTACTCATTGTTTTGAATCAAAGTCTGGCTGAGTATATAAAATCACTAAATACCTGGTTATGGGTTGTGCCTCAGCGATGAGCTGTTTATATGGATTTTTCCTAAATTGTAGCTACGTGACACGTGAATAGAGGTTAGCTTCTCATATAGAGTTTATAAAAGATGTCCTGAAAGTCAGTTTGAAACATTAAAACACAACAGTATATTGTTGTTTTTTTTTAACAGAAAACTAATTTGTGTATTGATTACTTTAGCAGTAGAATAACCTAATAGTAATAAATTTATCGCTTTATACTGAAAAATTTATAGTGTTTTATCAGTTTTTTCTATAGTAAAAATATCGAAATCTGATTTTTACTGTTTGGTGACTGAATGAGAATGCTTCAAAATTTATTTATATAGAAAAAATGTTTTTCTATATAATTTTTTTTCAACACTCACTGATTTACATTGTTTTGACATTACATTATATCCATATATATATTTTCTTGGTCTAATATATTCTTTTACTCTCATAAATAACAATGTACTGTACATATTTCTCTTACTTGTGTATTGTATTAACATTCCAACTAATGTAATACACTAATGTAATACACTTTTTGAACATTTATTTACGACTATATTATTTTTCATAAACTGTTTTTCATAACTTTTTAATATATTATACATCTTTATTGTGTATACGTTTAATTTATAGTTCTATTTAATATATTAATTATAGTGTATAGCTTATATTAATTTCATAAAGTGTACAATAGTAAGTTATGATTTTTTCTATATTTGAAAGTTTTTCAAGTTTCCATTTTGAAATAATCGTTATTGACGAGAGATTATATCTTGTTTATAAAATCGGGCTGCTGTCAATAGCTGGATACTTTAGAAGTATTAAGGAGTATATGTCATAAGTTGCAATTTGGCGCAAAGTATTTGGTACCCAAATCATAAGCTAATAAAAAGAAAAGAAAACCAGATTTGTAGGTGGACAGAGGATAGAGAACAGAGTCAAAATTACTGTAAATGCAAAATTATGACACTACAAACAGGCGCTAGTGCGAGATTTGCGCATTCTTTGCTCGTTGGGAAGTTGGAAATGCGAACGTTGCAATATCGAATTTTGAGAAACGAATTTTTGAAAAAACCCGTTTACCTGTCCCGACATATCTCTGGTCGCGACCTTCAGACTTTGACTAGCGATTGAAGAAGGAGAGCGAGACCCACCATGAGTGTCAAATAATTCCGCTTTGTAGCGAGAATTCGAAACATAGTTTTGCCCCAAAAATGACTTTGCCTTTTTACCTGTCTTTTGTTATTTTTATATATTTTACTCTTTAATACTTTTATTAACTGTACATAATTAATTTATCTTTTTTTAAACTTTTGATTAATTCTATAACATGAAACAATTTTATACTCAATTCTAATAATAACCATTTTCTCAAAGTTGTGATCATTTTTATCTAACATACATTTCATCTTACCCTGAGCAGTATATGTAAACGACCCGGAAAGTATTATCAACAGCTGTTTTCAAAGATAACTGGTTGTAAACACTAGCAGCAGGTGACAAGTTGCACACTGTGTCAAATAATAAAAACAATTTATGCAGCTATATTTTTTAACTAAAAGCATTCATTTTAAACTGTTTTATATATTTTTTAGTAGTTTTTGTATAAAAACGCGTTTTGTAATATTTACTTTGTGGCAATTTTTTATATCAGATTCGCTTTTCACTAGAAATAATTATTTTTTATAGCAAAATAAAATAAATATTAGTCGCTGTACTTAAAATAAATCTAATTTTAAGTACAGCCAACCCCACAAGTGTGCAGCTGAATGGTGAGGGACAGTTCATCTCACAAAGCACACCGTTTAATTCCACCATTCAATGGACCAGGAAACGAAACTAAGAAAGCGGATTTGTTTCTTGACCTCCAGATTGCTAGATTGACACCTTACCTAAATAGGCCATTCTGGCTAGCAATTTAAATAAACACATATTGTTATAAATAATTGATTTATATTAATCACTATGTTACTTCTTCTAGAAAACTATATATAATAAAACATCTGACAAGGAAGAACAACATCGAATACTAGGATTATCTGTTTACAAAGCATATATGAATGCCGGAGCACGTTTTCCCTTTAAGATTCTTATAGTTTTTACGCTCATTTTATCGCAGACTCTACTTAGTTTCAGCGACTATTGGCTGATTAAATGGTATGACTTTTACGTATTTGAATTAAATTTTCAACAGTTCAAGAATTATTCTATATAATAATATTAATGAGTAATGTTGCAAAATTCAACAAATTACGAAAAATCACTATAAACATTACTGATGTATTATTTACATGAAGAATGAATGATAATTTTTTAATTTTTCTTTTCTGTTCTGAAAGGTAATAAGATTTTGATAGTAATAAATGATATTGAAAGAATAGTATGGAGAATATTAAATAAATAGCTTTTTCAAGGCACACGTCATAGCACAGTTTGAATTTAAAATTCACAAATATGTATACACTTAATAAAGAGTTTGATTTTACTTATTACAGTAGAGCGTCGTTCATCCGAATCAATTGGGGACTGAGGTTGTTCGGATAACTTATTTCTCAGATAACCAATTATGTACGAAAAAATATATTAATTTATTTCGTGTTGAAATTTTTCTCCGTTGCGTGTCGCTTCGCGTTGAATTTTCGTCGATGTTAAGCCTAACGAAGACTAGTGTATCGTTAAAAATTACTTTTTTATTTTATACAAACAAAATAAATATATTGAAAAATATAAAAACAATAAAAAAAATTATACTTCAGAAGTTAATTTAGTATCACAAACGTAAAATATTTGAGTAGCCGAAGACATAGCCAAAGATTGCAGCGCTACAGCACTGGCAAAAATTTAAATTTGTCGACTGGAATTCCTTCGGATAACCGACGTTTCGGATAACTGACCTTCGGATAAACGACGCTCTACTGTATGTGTTGTTTTTATAATTTGTTGTAATATACTTTCTGAAAGAAAAGTTGATATCTTTTCGGAAATAAGAAATTATTTTATTAATATTTTCAGGTTGCAAGATAACAAAAACTACAATGAAAATTTACAATTCAAAAATTTTACATCAGAATTAGAGACAATTAACAACACGGAATCTGTTAATTATCATATTCTGGAACTTAACATATACATTTATTTGGGCTTGGTTTGTGCTGTATTTGTGGTCACAATAATTTCTGCTTCATTGTTGTACGAAATGTTCGTGTCTGCATCTACTAACCTTCATAATAACATGCTTCGCTGTATTATTCATACGCCAATATCATTTCTGGACAACAATCCTGTAGGTGTGTAAAAATATATTTATTAGTTTTTAAGGTAACAATTCAACAAATTTTGGTAAGAAAAAAACATTGTCGATAATAGGTTTAAATTAAGTAACTACCTGCATTGTTCATACTTTCTATTTACATTAGATTTTCATTTCACACATTATTTATAAAATATTTAACCTTTATTTGCAATTGGTGTAGTTGGCATGAGATGTAAGAAAATAAAAAAAATGGGAAGAATTTTATTTTCAATTTTAAATGTAATTAATCCAATAAGTAAACAATCTTAAATGTTTTAAAAGAAGCAAGAGATAACCCAATGCTAAACTAAACCTCTACGTAGATGTGAGTATAATATTAAACGTTGACGATAGTTTAACCCTAAATGCTCTGTAACATTATGACCAATTGACTCAGTTTTACGATTTTTTAATTGTCAAACATGTCACTTTTGGACAACACTAATGCTACATGAATTTGGAATGAAGTACGCATACTAAAAGTGCTGACAGGTTAATTAATTAATCATGTTTAATCACGGTGTTCGAATACATTTTTTCCTGCTTTTATTTGTTATAAATAATATAATAAAACTTGTGATATTTCAGGAAAAATCCTAAATCGATTTTCAAAAGATGTTAATAACATGGATGATATGTTAACATTCGTTTTCTATGAAGCCATAAGAGTAAGTNATAATAAAACTTGTGATATTTCAGGAAAAATCCTAAATCGATTTTCAAAAGATGTTAATAACATGGATGATATGTTAACATTCGTTTTCTATGAAGCCATAAGAGTAAGTATAACACAAATATACTAACAAAGTTATATAAAGATATTAATATATAGGTCTTCATTCGGAAATTTATATGTAGGTATGTAAATATATATATTAGTATACACGTGTATTTTCAAGCTTTATTTAGGTTTAACATTAAAACTGGGCTAGTTTTTAATTTAAAATCTGTTACGAGGCATCAAAACTTGGCACACTGTGCAAGTTTTGCGTTGCTTTTTAATTAATCGAATACTGTAGAAAATAAAATTACAATATATAAATCGATAATGCAAATTTATTGTTATGTTTACATAATAAATGCATTAAGTATTTTTTAAGAACATAAATTTAATTCAGATGTAAATTAAAATAATTATTTAAATATAGAGCATCATTAGCAATTTATAACAGATATTATAATTTCAGGCATCTGGCTTCTCTATCGGAATGATTGTAATTGAAGCGATAATCTGTCCTTATCTCATAGTAATAACAATCTTTCTCTTAATCACATTTTATGCTTTGTGGACTACTCATAACAGCGTTTTGAAAAGCATAAAATATTTAGAAGGAAAATGTATGTATTAATAAATCAAAGTTTTTATATGTTATTTTATAACATGAAAATTGAATTTAGTAAATATTTATAAAATGAGTCATGTATTATGTATAACGTTTATTTTGATAGCGAGAAGCCCGGTATTTTCTCATCTGAGTGCATCCCTCTATGGAATTACAACGATCAGAGCATTTAATGCTGAAAGCAAATTTATATCCACCTTTAATGAATACCAAGATAAGCATACTGCAACGTGGTTCTTATACGTGTCATTAAATCGATGGAATTGCTTATACGGTCAAATAATTAGTTACGTATATCTAATTATTACCATTATTGTTGTAATTGTTTTCGTGAATACTGGTAAGTGTATATATTGAACATCCTAAAATTAGAAAGTTCAATACATTTTTAACTTATACAATTTATAGACGATGTAGGAAGCAAACTAGGTCTTGTTATGAATTACGGATTAATGATATTTGTGCATTTTCAGTGGATAATAAAACAATCTTCTGAAACAGAGTATCAGGTAATTTTATTTCATTATTATTATTTATTATCAATTAACTATGGGCCATCAATAAGGATGTGGTTATAAAAAAATTCACACTGATAATTGGTTACAGAATTGCACCTTACTAAAAAGCTTGCAATGTGAAGTCTCCGGGTGTTTTCGTGACACCCACCTAGAATCGAGTTTATTTATTATTAAACGTTATATTACATATATTACATTAAGTAATGTATATTACATTAAATAATGTAATATTTGATATATTCTGTACAGAATTTTCAACTGGATTTTCAAGTAACAACACAAACACTTGGCAGATCAGATTTAAATTGGATGTAATTATCCAGAACCGCGTTGAACCACGAAAAGCACCAATGTTATAATTTATGAGGATACATACAAATAACAAGAAACACTGTACATGATGATAATACAGTAGAGCGTTGATGATCCGAATGTCAATCATCCGAAAGAATTCCAGTCAGCAAATTTAAATTTTCGCCAGTGCTGTGGCGCTGCAATCTTTGACTATGTCTTGGGCTACTCAAATATTTTACGTTTTTGATACTAAATTAACTTTTGAAGTATAATTTTTTATTGTTTTTATATTTTTCAATATATTTATTTTGTTTGTACAAAATAAAAAAATAATTTTTAACGATACAATAGTCTTTGTTAGGCTTAACATCGAGGAAAATTCAACGCGCAGCGACGCGCAACAGAGAAAAATGTCAAGATGGGATGAATTAATATATTTTTTCGCACATAAACTGTTATCCAAAACATTGAGCTTCCGAACAACCCCAGTCCTCAATTGATTCGGATAATCGACGCTCTACTGTATTAGTCGTTATCATTATACAGCGTTTACTTTGTTTTCTCTTGTAACTAGTGTTTCAAGTTTGTATGTCTTCTTGTATTATCCTGTTTATTCACCGTGTATTTCTTATTATCTCATACACATTCGGTTTTTCAGATGAATTCTGTTGCTCGTATACTAAATTACAGCAATTTGAAATTAGAAGCAGCATACGAATCTTCGACTGACGAACAACCTCCTGCAGATTGGCCACGTACAGGGGAAATTGAATTTAAAAATGTATCTTTGCAATACTCAAAATATAAAAACATTGTTCTAAATAACTTAACATTTCGTATCCATTCGGGAGAAAAAGTACGTTATGTGTAAAATAATAATAGAAACAAATTTGCAAATAATTGTTTTAAGAAATATCGTTTTATTATCAATTTTATTGCAGATAGGAATTGTTGGACGAACAGGAGCTGGAAAGAGTTCAGTAATTGCCGCTTTATTTCGTATGACAGAGCCAACAGGAACGATAATCATCGATGGTGTCGATGTAAAGTCTATAGGCCTTCGGGATCTACGTAGTAAATTATCAATCATTCCTCAAGTAAATAAGTGAAAATATTATTAACCTTTATTTCTTCTTATTGTCAATAATTTACAGAATGCTAGCATTTTTGAATAGCTGTTATATTAAAATACATTTAGTTCTTATAAAAATACTTGCATTCTTTTCAGGATCCAATGTTATTTACTGGTCCTTTTCGAAGAAACATTGATCCTTTTAATGAATATTCAGAAGACTTGTTATGGCAAGTTATAGAAGAGGTGAAAAAATACTTAAATAATATTATATACTAATAGATGCCAGATATCAGTGGCCAATATGCATTATATACTATATAATACATATATTATTGAAGGTTCAATTAAAAGACGTTATTGGGAAGTTACCTGGAGGGTTGGATACACACGTAAGTGAAGGAGGTCGAAATTTCAGCGTTGGACAAAGGCAGTTAATATGTTTAGCAAGAGCAATTCTTCGTGACAATAAAATTTTAGTTATGGACGAAGCAACATCCAATATGGATAAAGAGTAAGATTGTATTAGAGAAATATATATAAAAGATTTAAATTTCATGAACGGTACAGTTTACTTAATGTTATAATTTTTATTTTTAATGCAATTCTTATATTTATGTTAGAATATCAGACTTACTAATTCTATCAATATTCTATCGAAATTTATTATAAAAAATAAGTTAGTTTTCTGGTGGCAAGTTTAAATCAAACTACTTTTTGAAATAAATTTAAGTTGGTGTGTTAGAAAGAATGGCTATTTTTAGAACTTTGCAATTTATATCAACTCACTGATGCGTACATCTAATAGTTCGCAGCAGGAATCAAAATTTTATAGAGAATATATACTTTCGATTGAGTGTGTACAGATTCCTATGTTTAATATATTCTACTAGTATTAAGACAAATGGAACATGCTGATTTTTAAAAATAATAATGTATGTACTTTTTGGAAATTTTTCTTTGTGAAAAATAAGAACACGATTTCTTATACCAGTCATGGGACATTCGGGCAGATAAGAGGAGACTGGTTAGTCAAAGTCAGACAATTTAAGTACAGAACGAACATGAAAAACTTATAGGGTTTTACTACCTGTTGGAAGGCAGTCACGGGCATGTTTAATATCTGAAATTTTTACCTAATTAAAATGTAAAAAAAAATGACAAAACAGTATAATTTATTATACCCAACTTAGTGTACAGAATTAAAGTGGATGGTCCTATGTATGATTGTCACTAGTAAATTTATAAAGATATTTGAAATATGTATTTTTAGTTAGTTGAAAACTAGAACAAGTTTCTGAATTTATGTAAGTTTACAATTTAGCATTAATTTGTAATACATTTCGATAATTAATTGCTTCTTTAGATTTAATAAACGGTTTATAAATACAATTCTTTTGTAATTTCTCTATTAATTAAATTGTTTTCATAGGAAAAGTTTATATATTTAAATGATTTTAGTCTGACATATTTTAGATCGTGCTATCTTTATTGGAACATTTTTATATTTTATGGCTTCATTTCGAAAACGATATTTCTTCAAATAATTTTTATGAATTTGAATAAGTTTGTGAGTTTGATGATAATACTACTCGAATTCAGCAAAATATATTCGAATTATTTAATAGGTAAAATTGTTCATTAACTTGTCAGTCACTTATTTTTTATTTCAGTTATAGTTCGTTTTCGTCTAAAAATTAAAAAAGGTGAAAATTTTTTGTATCAGGATTTTTTGTATCTTTATTGGATCAGGATGCTACTATTTAGGTGTTTTCAAGCTTTATTTTTTACTGTGTTAAAACTCATATTCGCTTTTTTCCCAATTGAAAAATATGCTCAGATTCTGGACTGGGTCCCTCGCAGTTGAGGATTTTAAAAATGATAGATATGGCCTTGTTAGCAAGTAATACAAATTACGATTCGTATATTATGCAGTATATTTCAATTCCCTTTTATTTTCCATCGGCTTCCATTATGCTTGTGTGAGACATAAGTGGGGTGTGATAAAACATTGTGTTTGTGCTGACATTGTAAAATGAGCATTAATTAATTGACTGACAGTAAAATTAACTGGTGCTCTGACTAATTGCGTTTTTTCTATTAATTTTCTAACTGTTTTAATCTGCTATATGTATTACATTAATTTACTATAATGCATTTATGTATTTATTTTATTTTATTTCCAGCACCGACTGCTGCGTACAAAAAGTAATTCGAGAAAAATTCAAACATTGTACAGTGTTGACAATTGCCCACAGATTACATACTATTATCGATTCGGATAGAGTTCTGGTAAGATTTATCTGTTAAATAATACAAAGTAAGTTTGTGTTTTTATTGAAAATTTCAAATTTTTCAGGTTCTCGAGTCAGGAAAAGTTAAAGAATTTGATACGCCATATACATTACTGAAGAATGTAAATGGTATTTTTTATAATTTGGTGAACAACACGGAACAAACGCTGATCAAAGAGCTATACAAAATCGCGAGAGATAAGTATAATAGCAAAGAAAATACTGCTATTACCAAATTATAAAAGATATTTTCGATGTAAAAGTTATATAATATAAAAACCTTAATAAAACAATAGTGTTTCTGATTTGCACAGTAAAATTTGCATATTACTTAGTTTATTGAAATATAACCACTGATTTGTCTTTGAAGAAATCACGTTGCTTTAATTTTTGGATCAATTCAACACTAGAGAGTGGTAGTCAATTCTATAATCTCAATTATGTTTTTCCGAAGAAATTTTCGATACATCTTATTCTCATAATAAGTTCGTGTTGCTGTAGAACAAAATTTCATTACAATTTCTTTTTTTGATAAGAAAAATTTTTTAGTTATATAAAACCAGAAAATAATGAGAGTAAAGTTTTTTCCAGCTGAAAAAATTAGAAATGCCTTTTTAAAGTAACGATAGAAAATACTAATAGATTTAATTCGGGATTTGAGAAAAATATACCTTAAAATGAAATCTCGTTTTGTAGATATATTTTCTCACAGATAGTGTTAATGGGACTTTCCGGAATCGTTTTATGAAATACAGAATCAAAAATTTCAAATACATATTTTATGTATGTTCAAATGTATATAAATGACACCAATTTCAAAAATATGGTATCATGAAATTGCAAGGGCTTTAAATTAATTCGGCTAAACGTTAGAACATCCCTCCGCAGTATCAGTGTAATGTTTCGGGCAATGGTTTATGAATTAGTGAGGAGAGATGATGAACTAGAGGCGAGGGGTAGGGTATCCAGGATTCATGGTAATTTAAGCATGTCCTCCTAAATATCGGGTTTATTGAAAAATTTTTAAAATTAATTTGGTTTGTTTGGTTATGGCCACGCAACATGTGAGATGTCTGTCAAGGAGAATGCATCCCAGAAAGACTTTTATGATCCCATTCTAAGTGTTATTAATGAAAAGGAAACCCACAAAACTCCACGTGGCTAGTTTGTTGGTCATATGCAAACCTGCAGCTGACTATTGGTGACTGCTGGTTTTATCCACTAGGTTACTTGAGGTTATTAGAAATTTTTATTGCTATCTGTCTGTCTGACATTCTGTAATCTCAATAATGGAGTTACAAAAAAGTCAAGACCAGACATAGAAATCATAACAGAATGAGAACCAGTTTAATTAGCTTTATGTGATCTTTCGATTTGTACTGCAAGTCACGTTATTTCAATTCAAAATTTTTTTGTCAAACAGAGTTACATACATAAACAACATGACAGAATATTTTTAACAGGGACAGTATGACATACAGTGGCAAAACACTACTATAGTTTACGTAAGCAAGGGCTATGTGGTACTTACCGCAGTAATATCTTGTGATCTACTGCGTGCAGTATATTTATCACAGTAATTCAGTGAATATAATATATATGTGCGCTTGACGGTTTGAGTCATTCGACAGCACATTGATGTATATTTGAGGGCATAAAACTTTGTAAACTCTCGCTCCTCTAGATGTTAGGCAAGCCGCATAATGGCTAGTTCGATCGTCTATGCCAGGGGTCGGAATTAGCGGCTCGCGAGCTGCATGCGGCTCTTTGCATAGACGTTTGCGGCTCTTCGGACATAAACTCCAACTTCACCTCACCTCATTTCACTGCAGCCTTATAACTTATGTGTTTATGAGATAGAGCCGCCGAACAAACTTCGACTCGTACGCCGTCCGCACATGGTGGTCCGCACACTCGCATTGTTTAATATGAGTCGCATAACAGTGGTAGCATTTGAAGCATATCTATATATATAACGCATCGAACGCGTGTCCGTCCATCCGTGTAACGTTATGCCAAAAACGTTCACTAGAGGCGCCCCTGTCGTGTGTCGTATTTCGCACATTTAAATTAATATGCGGCTCTCTGGTACTTTTGTTATCCTGTTTTTATGACAGTTTGGCTCTTCGCATTTGACAAACTGCCGACCCCTGGCTCTATGCCAATAGATTTATATGTTATTTAATTCTTTATGTACACTCCTGTAAATTAGATTAGTTATATAATAAACTCCTTATTTGTTTGTTTAACCTATAAACTTGTATACCATTGCTTGCATGGACACCCGTTGACTTTCACAACCACCTCGCCACTAGATAAAAAGCCATTCAGTGAGGCTCTGAGCAGATTTTGCCGAATCGACAATTAGAGGGCTCTGTCCCCTCGACCGTATTCTCACGTACACATATATATATTTTTTTTAAATTATATTATTTTTGTAAGAATTACATTTAGTTAAATATTTGGTTAAATTTTTTAAAATAAATGGCGCTACGTGTAACGCCAGCAATAAAATGTAGACATATCATTCGATAAATAGAAATACAACTCATATTTTTGATTGGGATATACGAAGTGATGAAACTTAAAAGTGTTTGAAAGTAACTACTGAGCTTTTATGAATTTATAAGGCCCTGCACTGAAATGAAAAACATTCTTTTAATCAAAAATTTTAACAAAAGCAATCCTTATGTTCGCGATTAATTAAAATGAAATGATTGTTAGGAAAAAGAGAAAAATTGTAATTATTTTAACATTAAAACCATGCGAAAAACAGAGAAAAACTAGTAAATTAAATTTTTTATCAGATAAAAAGAACAAAAAAGGAAGTATTATTTAAGGTGCAAGGTTTGTTTAACACTGAACAAGAGACAGTGTCGCACTGTGTTCGTAAACAGTCGTCTCTATCGGGAACTGATCAGTTTCAATTTCACTCGATAACAGAGAAAGACCAGTCTGTGACAGAGATTGTGGATTAGTAACCAATAAAGTGATAATTTGAAGACGAAGACATATTTTAACCCAGACCACAAGAAAACTTCATTTATTTCACTGGAGTCCCACGAAACTAGGTTCTGTAGGGGTTCTTTCTGCAAGGTTCCATTTTCGTCTTTTGCCAATGTATCCTCCGAATGCTATAGACCGTTGAGAGACACTTCAGACATTTAGATGTGCATTCACTGACATCGTTTTCTGTTTGAGAACGGGACTTAAAACGGAACATCCACTCAGCAAACGGAAATTTCCTTCTTTGCCGGACTTTCCTCTTATTCTTTGAATACTAAGCGTCGAATTATACAAGGATTAAAACCCTTCGTGACTGTCAACTTTTTGTAAGATAAATTTTCTGATAAATGGGTTGTGTTGTTTGTATACGAGGCATCGATCTTTAAATCGACTGCTCCCACATGATGTTGACTGTTAACGCTCGGCAGTCCAGACGGCAATGGAGGCAATAACAATATTACAATAATCGTTATTTTTCGTTTTTAAATTTTTCCCCTTCATATCCCCCATAGAAATTAATCGAACGGCTGAACGAACAAACAAACATACTCATTTATATGTAATTTATCAATGTAATTTTTATTCTTAATTTCCTCTTTATTAGTGTTTGTTATTCTATGTCAATTTAACGTTCAATATAAATAAGAAATACTATTCCTTCATCAGTTATTTTACTTTCAATTGAATTTTGATATTAAATAGCGAAATGGTTTAAGATATGTAAACAAAATTAGCAATTAACAAAACACAATTATTTTTATTTTGAATTTCGCACGTTAAAAAATTTAATTATTTAAATACAAAAACGAAAATAAAAATTTTACATAAGAAATCACTTTTTAGCAGTAATTTTAAAGTAATGCATCAATATTTAACGCAACAACACGAATTACAATTATAAATCGATTATGCTAATAAAAAGCCAAAATTAAAAAAATATATATGTAATTTCGGTTTCGCTCTTTAAAGTATAAAATTACTTCTAATCACCAACTAAGATTATTTTCTTCAACCCTGGGGCTGTTTTCACTGTAAAACTGAGAGTACCATTTTCTGTATTTGGCAATTGCTTTCTCTTTTGATACGTAAACTGGATTCTTCAAATACATTTTGTAATTCCAGATTTGAATGTCTCGCTCAAGCTATTAAAATAAATATTTCCTATTGTTAATACACACGTTTCTTGTATATTTTCAAATTTCAGTAATTGGAATAATATAATCTCACCATATAACTTTCAAAAAAACAGATAACATAATCACGAATGCCTGTAAATCGAGAAGAAGTGTAATATTGTCGTATCAATCTCACTCGAACTTGTCCTTCCGGTATCATGTTATATACGACTATTCAATTTCCAAATAAACTTTTGTGGTGAAAACTCATTATTGCTGGTCCAGTCTGAAAAATTAAATATATTTGATAATAACACACAAGCGATCATTTTATAAAAATTAATTGTTTGTAGATGAATTTATAATTTTTGCCTTGTAGCAATTCATTTTACGTATCAGTACTAATACGCGGTAGAGTAGTTTCTAGTATTTTTACGCTAATATTACCTTTCCGATTTATCAAAGTATACACGAAATGATAAAGTGCCATTAAAATTATTGAATAGATTGTGAAGGTTCGAATATCCTGTTATAATATTTCTGCCAACCAGCAAGTGGCACAGTGTACGGGAATTTAATCTTTCATCTTTCAATCTTTCTGGACTTGCAAACAGATTTCTAACATACTTTCACATCATATATTGCAGTAAGAAATATTGGTTTATAATAAAGATTCTTTTCTCCAAAAATAAAATTATGCATGTTGGCCCTGCTGAGATTTGAAGCAATGTTAAAACTAATGGAATGTTTTCGCCAAAATTTGAGACGAAATTTCTGTGTTAATCCGAGTTGTGTTTTATCAATTCTAATTACTTATTAGTTTTGCCCATCGATATTTCGCTAATAGTATTTAGTAATGTTTTGGGCTTGATTTTACTTTTAAATAAGATTAAATAAAACAGATGGAACACCGAATAAAATTGTTGTTCCATTGTTTAGTGTAATTATCTGTATTCACCTATATGCGTATATTACAGAATGTAGATTGTTTGGTGTGCAAAAAGTTGCGGTTATGATATTCTGTTTTATTCTCTTCTGCAGATATCACGTTACAAATTGCTGAAAATTTTTTCATTATTTTGTACAATTCATTGTCAGGTTAACAAAATACCATCTGTATACATTTGAAAGAAATGTTTGGATTTGATCGAAATGTCAATGCTACGTAAATTTTTTTCACTTACCAATGGTTTACAGATAATAATTAGCAGTCAAAGTAGTCTGAAGGGGTAATAATATTTTTGTTATGAGATCGTATGATATCTTAAGACAAGATATTTGAAATGTCTGGAATTTTTCTTGTTCTTTACAGGAAAGACATAAGAAAATATTTTCAAAAATTCAGTGCCAAAACAGATAAACGTATTTTCTGAAATTTTTAAAATATTCGTATCTCTTTATCATTGAATATGAGAGCGCTCTATAATATTTCCCTGCTACACGTATAATGTTAAAGTGCCAATTTTGACCATTAATATCTGAAACACTAACGAACCGATGCGAATGAATTCTGAAATATTTACTCTCTGCGATGAAGACTACAGAAATGTTAATGCTGAGTTAATGTGTTGCATCGTTCTGGCTTAGGAAAACCAATATTTAGCAGTTTTTGCATTAGATTTACGACTACAGATATACTCCGGAAACCAAGCTACCGAAAGACATGCTTAATAGCTTTTTGGAAAGCTGATTACATCTTTTGTGGTGTTTTATAGGCTTTATTTTCAGATATTCAAATATTTTAAAATTTATTTGTTCGATCGTTTTCCACGAAACGTTTCGATTACTTTTAATGAGGATTGTATTTATTAATACAATCTTGATGATTTAAAGGTAGTATATTGATAAAATAATATTTCGTTGATTGGTTTTTATGTACTGTACCTATAGATAAAAAGGAAGAGTATTAAAATCGTGAAAATTTTGACCCTCGTAGATTTTTGCCGATTTGCATGCTTTGAGACCTTTTCTTTACCACTGTATATATAGAGGACATAATGTATGTTTTTCTCTGTTCTTAGATTTCTATTACGTATTGTATTACATATATATATTGTATTTATTCTCTGGAACACTAAGGAAAATCTGCAGGCGTTCGCGTGATTGTCACAAAAGTATAGTATTATTATGAAGAATATTCTCTTATGAAGTTATCGGTGATTAATAAATATATGAATACCTTCAAAAAACTGGTAAAACCAGGTTGAAAATGCAGAGTTCATCAAAAGCACCTAATTAAAAAACTTTTGAAAGTTTTTATATGAAAATAGTGAAAGTAGATTTCACAGTGTGACTCAACATGTCAATGAAGTGCACGTCACACCGTCTAAAACTACAAGAAGTTTCGGATGATGCGATCGTCATGATAAATCGGAAAAACAAACATTGTCACCAAAAAATGGTTTGAGCTTTACTTTGTACTTTAATGTTTTTGCACTACTGTAATTCGGTTAAACGTATGAATAACTTTTAGTAGTATCAGTTAAAATCTTTAAGACACAAAGTAAAACTGAAAACTTTTTTCTCTGAAAATGTTTGTTCTCTCGATTTCTCATCGAGGTGACAATGGTTAATGCAAAATTTCCTTCAATTGTAGTCCGGATAATGTACGCTTTGTTCACATGTCATGTATTACTATTTTATCTGCTTCTACTATTTTTATTCCATAACTTTCAAAAGTTTTTTTATTCGGATGCTTCTGCTGATCTCTCCTTTTTCAACATGGTTTCACCAGATTTTCATGAGATAAACAGTGTTTTAATAAGTAATTTAAATATTTTGTTCAAACACAACCAACAACAGAATTATACTAGCTTATGTTTATTTAAAAACTAACTTTTGATGTTGCCACGTTAAAGGGCGTATATCATCAGTCTGTTGTTCGTTTTATTTCAACCAAGTTTTTAATTCAATATCTAAAATACAAATAAAACCTATGATATATAAATATATATTATACTATATAAAGACTCTTAGTAGTTTATTTCATAAAAATATCTTAGTAAAAAATATTTATTTGTGAACATACCTAACGAAATTTTAATACCATTAAAAGTAATTAATTACATTTTGAGTCTATTTACCTGCTTGAACAGATTGCAAAAATAGCTGAATATGTTTTCAATATAATGTGTGTGTACTGAGAATAAATTTACTAAATTGTGAAATTATTTTGACAATCTATATATACAATCGAGACGAGTTGATAATAATAATAAGAGCAGAGCCCAAACGGTGAGGAGTCAAAAGCAGAAATTTGGTACACAGTTAGGGTACGTCACAAAAACGAACACTAAGAAGGGATTTTTCGAAATTTTCCCAGGGGGAGAGAGGTACAGGATTAAGCTTAACACTTCCATCAACAATAGAAGTGTTAAGTAACAGTGGAAGTGTCAACAATGGAAGTGTTACGTAACAATGAAAGTGTTAAGAAAAAGTGCAGTTTTTTTTCGATTTTGAAGGAAATCGAAGTTATTTTTAGACCCATCTAAAAATTCTCTAATTAGTCTGGAAACGGGGGATCCGATTCTTGCATTCTGAGTAAACGGGTAAGGTTGACTATAATGTAATAACCTTAATCTTCGTTATGGTAACCTTTGCCCGAGCAACGCCGGGCCTACCTGCTAGTACAGAATACTTTCTGTCATATACGCATTATTAATTTCGATTCGTAAAATCCATGAATCATTTTGGGCAATCTGTTGAAAATGATCGAAAATTATGTTTAAAATTTTGACATATTCTTAAAATTTTTTCAAAAATGTCTGCACCATATTGTAAAATTAAATACGTATATATAGTTACTAACTGATTACCTGTTGAAGTTCATATGATGTCCGCATTACAGATATCCCGAACAATTTAACAGCGATAATTCCTTCGTATTTGCGACAGGAAATTGTTTCTTCACATACTGGATGGCAAGACATTATACACTGAAAATATTTCCACCAATTTTCCGGATGCAAAGTAATTCTAGATGTAATACCAAATTTGTGAAGGCAAGTTAGATGAGCAAAATCAGCTGCATTTTCCATAATTTCTTGTATTATATAAATAAAAACATAAATAATACATATATTTATTTGATCGGTGTTATTTATAAATACCTGAATATGACAATTCAAAATGTGTTCACTACGACCTTTATAGATCATTAGTCGATTCTTTATTTCTGGTATAACTGGTGGTTTCCACAGAGGTGGTTGGCCTTCTGCATGATGCCACACGTAAATAAATCCATTTTCTTCGATGGTTTCCCAACTTTTTATTTTAGCAACTTCTGGAAGTAAGTTTAAATACATTTTTTACTGTGTCTTCTATTTAATATTACTCTAAAAACAAAAGATATCTTTTCAGCATTGTAAGAATATAAAGGTCTGGTGCATTGGTTTTATTGAAACGATTACTGTAGAATTACTTAATTCGTTTAATAATACACGTGTAAATCGAACTACATTTTAGCAGTAATACCAATAATTACATATCTCTGTCGGTTACAAAAGTAACAAAAAATTATTATAATATTTAGCATAATTTTAAAATATTATAAAAGCATTGCATAATTTTAATACGAAAACAGTTAAATTTATTTTGATGTAGTATATGTGAGAAAACAATGCCATCAGCAGCACATAACGACGTAGACGGTAGAAACTGTAATTGTAAGTGGCACATGCTATATCTCGCATCTTTGATCTCAATTTGCCTACTCAGTAGGTTAGCAGAACGTAGAAACTAAGTGTTGACAGCAACCCAGTCGGCCCAAGTGACGCTGAAAACTGTTACACTAATGTATTTTGGTAAACCTGCAAAGACAATTCATGGGAGTCAAATCATAGAAATCATAGATGCCATATAACATGGTTGTATTTTAATTCCATTGTTTATCGAAAACCTGTATAATCTGGTTGAATTTGAATCAGCTGTTGCACTCTAATCCTACTCAGAAACCTGCCATAATAGCTAGTAGTAGCAAGTTATATAGACAGTTGCTAACTGTAAAAAATATAAGTATAATAGTCACAAGTAGATCAATAAAAAACTAAGATGCTCACCCCACATTCCACATCAGTCCTTTAGCGTAAATCCTAACTGGGTAGTAAATTTCGTGTACTTGTGACCTAGTTACAGTGGTACATATTATCTCAATTCACCATTATAGAAATAAGTTGTTAGTTAATCTATACAATATTATCCATTACTTGGAGAATATCATATGGATTAACTAAGCTCTTATTTCTAACTAGGTGGATCGTTTTTCTCAGAATTTGCTACGTCTAACCTGGCATAAACTTATTACTAAGTTTCAGCAGTGAAATCTCAGTGCATAACACTACGAGTTGCAAGTTTCAGTCGAATACGTGTTTATTATGTATATCTATTAATCTTTAATGTATTTGTGTATGTTGTAGTCATTTTCTCACGTGCGTGGAGTTTCACTCATAAAATAGTGAAAATCAATCTGAACTCAACTGTTCTTTCAATTTTAGTCAAGCAACTTGTTACATTGTAAATCGGCTAATGTGCATAACGGTGTTGGTAAGTTATAAAGTTTTGTGGCGTCTACATGCTGCATTTCGTGCATTCATTATTTTCCCCAAAAAGACCAATGAATCATTTAGCAATGTTTTCCATGCGTATAAGACATAGTAACAGTGCGCTACAATTTGCATACTGTTTGATGTTTCCTTTCTAATTGCGATGTAGAAAACGTCTGATGCTATGTTATTTTTCACATTAAAATTTTATATTGCATGTTGATCATAAGATCCTGTTACCAATGTAAAGCGTTCATTACAAAAATTCTCGTGTTCAAGAAATTAATTTATATAACTCTAATCATTATATTAAAACTAATGCACCATATTCATATTCCCCCGCAATACAAAGAAAATCAATTAAACGTATGAATTAGCATAAATGTATTAAGAAAACACATATTTAGCACTTCTCACTTTTTTCTGCGTAAGGTATTTTCACACAATAACCATCCTGTCCAGCAAATCGCCATCCGTGGAAAGGACATTCGATGCAATCCTCGTGAACCTTGCCATCAGTTCCTAAATGAGCGCCCAAATGAGGGCAATAAGCATCCAAAACAAAACATTTTCCGGTTTTTCCACGAAATATAACGAATTGTTGACCTGTAAAGTAATTATAATTATTTTCAATTATAATATTTTAAAATTTACTATTATTCATCTTATATAAATGTGCCTTGTATAGATAGAGATGGTGTATCTTTACAATTAATGTATTTACACTAGTCGCGTGCCATCTTTGGAAGAAGTGGAAGCGCCGCATTCCTTGTATTTTAGAAAAAATGAAAATAATAAAACAATATGTATTTATATTTAAACGTATCTTATTACAAACTTCTATACTACATCTAAAAAACGATAAAATGTTCCAATATCAGTGACGGAATAAATGAATAAATCACGAGTAGATTTATAACTTAACCCACCGATAGGAGTTTACTGATATGTTTTTGTGATAATGGTGTATTGTTGACAGGAGTTTATAAAATCTATTAAAAGATTTGATATATTTATTATGCTTTTATTCTCTTCTCCCATGTTGTATTACCTAACTACAGTTTCATTCTCAAAAATGACAAATTCATTTCAGGTTGGCATTTCCCAATTGAAAATTTGCTGTAAGTCCGTCTACCATTTGTTGGATTACAGAGACATATTACATAAAGATCTAATATACATCAATCCAGTTATATAGTGAATTTGTAAATATTAATTATTGATATGAGAAAAGAATTTATTAATGTTAAGTACGTAAAAGAAGTAAATGGCAAAAGATCATAGAGTGCTAAAAGTAAAAATTAAAAAAAATTTACATCCCCAAAAACACATGAAGTATGATTATATCCTTTTTAGAAAAGTATGAAAATGTAAAAAAAATAATAAAAGGTTGTATGGATTTCGGAAATTGGAAGTCATTTCGAAGATCAGGAAATTTACAGGTAAAGCAAAAAGAAGCTCTGCTGTAGTTCTGAAAGCTCCGGTATAGTTCTGAAAGCAATGGTAAGTGTGAAATTAAGCCATTGTAAACCATGGAGACTCTTAAGCACTGAAGAGGAGCTAGAAAGTTAACCTGGCTCAAAATGCATCTGTAACAAAGCAATAAAAGGAGTTTTATAACCTGAATTGGCTGTGAGGTAGTCTACCGAAAGTTTTTTTGGATTGAAGAGACGTTATTTAATATACTACAGTATCAATTTCACATACAGTATATTGTGTCCTTCAAACTGCGAATGTAATGGAATAATATTGTGAGATTTCGAAGGAATTTTATTATTTTAATAATAATATTTAAAGAAATTATATCATAATTTCATAAATTAGAAGGAAATTTATCCACAGAAATTAACAAGAAAAAGTAAGAAAGAAAGGAAGTTTACTTCCTTCAAAAAGTAGTTAGTCACCCGATGACAACATGTTAAGTATATTATTAGATTATTTACATATTACATATATATTATATACATATTATAGTACATATTAGATCATTGTCAGATGACAACATATTGAAATCTCCATTGGAGGAGAAGAAGAGTATAAATAAGAGATACGCGCCAAACTCGGTGTACAACACAGCACATCACATCACTTTCACAGTATCCTCAAGTGTAACTTAGTGCCATACTTTATAGATTGAACTTCCGACCAAAAGACAGGAAGGTTACAAGTCAAGAATGATATGGAAGTATTATAATCAGTACTTTTGTAAACTCTCTTACAAAACTTTTAGGGAACGTTTAATTATAGCTAGATGTATTTAGTTAGTTCATTTGTATTTATTGTTATTCATTAAAGTTTTGTTAATTTGTTAATGGGACTTGATTATAGTTTCCTCACGGACTCCTATCGCTTACTCACGTGTCTCCCCACTCAAATGAGGCCTCTTAATCGGAATAATAGAAGATTCGCCAGTTAAACCGCGAAATAATAATTTAACTGGTGTCTACATCCTGACGTGGATCTTAATTTCACAATCTAGATACTTATTACTGCTTATAGAAAAGCCATCCTCCGACGACCGTCGGCTAATCTCACGATTAGCTGCCGAATAAGCGGTAAACAAGTTTTACTAACTTCGTACCCCCTGCTAGCCCCTCACAATATTTCTTGAATTAAACGTCAATTTTCCGAACAGCCTAGAGAACAGTCTGGTCTTAAATCTTATAGCAACGTTGTATGGTTTTTAAGAATTAGTACGTTACAGTCAGGATGAACCTTGGAACATGTGCTTAGTCGAAGTGCTAGTGGTGCGAAGCTATCATCCGTGGGGTTATGATTAAATGCCCTTAAGGCGGTAGTCCCCAAGATGTGGCAACGTTAGTCGTTGCGATAGTAATCCAGCGCAGTACGATAGGAACCACTAGTTAAAACACTTTGTTATTTGGTCACTTGTTGCTAAGACGTCGGACGTGCAAAGCAAAAAGAATGAATTGATACCCCAGAATAAATTTGAAACTTGAAGTACGGACTCTTGGGTGTCGACGACGTTCAACTTGTGTCCAACTAAGATTCTCGTTAGCCCTAAAAATTGGAGCCACCAGTGAGGAAAAGAGGTTCATCAGATCTAAAAAAGGAAAAGAACCAAAAGGAATCGATGACAAAGTTCAACTTAAAGCCTGGTACTCACATGCTGCAACGAACGACATAAACCGTTGACAGAACGGCAAAATGACGTAACTTTTGCCGTCGAAGCCGACGAAATACGAAATCCAAAATTTTCAACTATTGCCGTGGCGGAAAGCAGAACGGCTAAAATTAGAGCAACAGGAAGGCCGTTTAGCAATGTTGTCATAAGATCACGTGTGACGATAGCATTCGAACTATGGCGGTTGGAAAGATAAAAAGCTTTATTTGTACACTAATACGCTAATATATTTCATTTATACGCTATATTACTATCCAATTTAAATATTAATGTCAAATAGAGTTAGGCCAGGAACACACACGCATAAATTGTGTGAGAAAAACTGAATCAGAAATTAGATTTCAGTTCATTTTCTGTTTTACGCTTTTATTCCAGAACACACGTACGTAAAAATTCTGGCCGAATAGGAAACACAGTGCTACATTTTATTAATTTTTTCTCTCATATATCTATCCCTTTGTACTTTTCATTTTTTTCCTGTTTCCTATCCTATAATATATAAAATTAATTGACTTGTATTCTGAATTCAAATGAAGAACGTGTGATCTAAATACTAGGCATATATATCGATTCTACTAAACCTATCTGTTATTTGAAATTTAGCTCCTATAGACATCCATAAACGTTGATTAAATACAGTGTCTTTATACATGATACTGATGTGGTCAAACGGATTCAACAAACTCCTCTATTTCATTTATTTTTCGTTTTTTGGAAATCGTCACAATTGTAGGGTTAACCCTCATTGCCGCCATTATTAGAATAAAAACCATGTGTCTACGTTGAGGTCACAAAAAAGACTTTTCTTTATTGGAGAAATTTTGACGTAAAAATTTTACTTTTTTGAAACCGTTCGGTAATTATTTTTGTAGTTTTGAACAATATATAGTTCATACACACAACACAAGGCAATGTTCATTGTAAATTTATTCAATTTTCATTTGATACATGTACCTGTTTTTATTTGTACATGTTTGGGCTTGTGTAGGCCCCCTCCTCAGCCAATTAAAATTGTATAATAGATATTTTTTATATATAAAAATTTACAGCGTATGAAGTAGAGACCCACTCTACTCTTTTTTCAGTTATGATTCAGCCAAAATTTCAGAAAAATTTTTACGCTTTCTATTTTATGGTAGATTTTACGTCAGATTTGACGTATTTGTGTTCCTGGCCTTACTTACTGCGTAAAATATTGGGAATGGAGTAATCGTAATTCGGTGACGAAAGATTTGATATTCCTAACTTCCAATGATTTTTTCTATCCTAATTATTCGTTTTTGAGGTTTCTTTATTTGCGATAAAATTGAAGGCAAACTTACAAATTTAATTGATATAACAAAGCAATTCTGGTAGACGCCATTTTCGACTAATGGCACGTGGCCTACCTACTGTAGTAGCTTGTTTATATTTACGGCAGGCAAATGGCGCATTTCAATTGTAGGGTAATTTTCACACGGAAAGACGACGGAACGGAAATCGTTTCTGTCGTTGGTTTCCGCACGTGAGTACATACCTTTAAATGGAAGAGAAAACGATAAGTTTCATTGTTCCTTTTTCTCATACATAAGGTCCAGCAATAATTGGGTTTTTCAACCACAGAATTTTATATATAATCATGAAATAAGTTACATTTTGGATAACTCGATATGAAAATGTGACAGGAATTATTATACCTAACCAAAATGTTGAAAAAGTTTTGCATGAAAAGCAAAATTAATATTTTAAAGGGTAGAATTGTTTCTAAAAATAACGAAATTATGCAATTAAAATCAATTATCCGTGAATTACAAATGAAAATTAAAAATCTCGAGAAAAAAGAAAAAATAGACCCAGGCACATGGAAAACTCGGGAATGAAATAACATCCTTCCCCAACTGTTGTAGAGGATGATAGGAAGTTAAACGTTTTCGTCTGTTTTACCTATTAACATGAGAATTAACATAATAAAACGAACTAGGAAGAAATGCAGAACTAGATTTAATAAACTTGAGAATATGTTTGTAAATGCGAAGTGTGTTGAGTCAATTCCTTCAATTAGTTCCTGCATTTCAGAAAAATCCTACCATTCCAGAAAAGTTAATATATTGGCCTGTTTTTGATTCACAATATATAAAAATTTGTCTAGTAATGTTTCCAAAAATAAAAGAATGATTCGAATTATACAATACAACATTTATTTCCACACTAAAGCTACAATCAGATATAGATTTGGTAAAAAGAATTAGGCTAGAAGTTGCAAAAGGGCATGAACTGACCTGGACTAGGTTGAAGACACAAAGGAACAAATGGTATGAAACAGATTTCACTGTAAAGAAGACAATTCAAATGTATGATGGAGTGCAAGGTAAATTAGCATCAGCCTTTTCTTATGTTTTAGATAAATTAGAATTAATTACTTTTTTCAATCATGAATATTCAAATAAAAATCGAACCATTAAACAATAAAGAATGTCTATTGCAAATAAAACATTCAATACATTAGATGATTATACCAAGGCTATTATGGCATTAGACTCGATAACAAAGAGAGAGCATGAAAAATACTTCAAAAGTTTCAGTGTAGGCGAAAGTACAAATAGACCTAATGAAATTTCAAGGTTGTCTAAGTCTTACAGCCATTTTTACAAAGAACAATGGAGTCGTCAAAATCGTGATTTAATTAGTTATTGGACCATGAAAGAAAATCTGTATATAATAACCGTTCCAAAACCTTAAGGAGAACTAACAGCAGAAAAAATGACATACAACAAGAACAAACGATTTTTCGAAATCAGACATTCTCAGAAGAAAGCTTTCACGATATTATCTGCCATAACTGTTGTAATAGAGGTCACTATAAGAAAAGCTGGAAGTTACCAAAAATTTATGCGTTAAAAAAAATGCCCCAACTCATACTCAAACTCGAAAATCAAAACTATGAAGAAAATCTAATGGGTCAGGATAACGAAAAGAGCCCTCTCTTCCAAGCTGCTAGAATCCGTTTTTAACTTTTAGAGTATTTCGCAATCTTGAAGTTAAAATTATGCTACATTTATCTGAATATCAGAGGATATCCGTTTAGTGCTATCATTGTTACGGCCTTAGAAAAATCACTAAGCCATAAACTGTGTGTAGAATTAAGACTAACAATACATCCTGCATCTATTAAACTAATCATGGCGAATAACAGAATAAGAGAGTGTGAAAGTACTAGTATATATAAATTATAAATACTGTAATAGGAAATAATACTGAATTTATGTTTGTAGTATTGGAAAATTTTTCACGTGATTTATTTATAGAGAGTGATTGTTGTGAACATATAAAAGCAATGATCAGCTTCAGAAACAACTTATTAATAGTGCCAATAAGAAACAATTGTATTGATCAAATTCAAATGCCCATCTTACATCATACTAATGCAAAATTCCATACCACCGAAAAAACACTGGTCAATACGTATCGTAAAATTTTAGTGTCCAATTAAGTAGAATACAGCAGAAATAAAGTACGAAATGGGCAAGAATGTTGTAAATGTTTTATCTGGTATTTGTGAGGTGAGAAATAATGAATGTATAATTCTAGTGCTAACTAACACTCCAACTCCTGTTTTATTTTCAGAGGAATATACTGTTGCCGAAGAGAAACCATGTGAAGAATATTTCTTTGTAAAATTGTGTTTCTTATCGCAATCAGACAGTAATGCAACAGATTCAAATATTATAAGGCCAAACGCTAATCCTTCGAAGGAAAAAAATGTTAGCTTATTCGTTAATTCTTATCGAAAACTGAACATAAAGTCATTTACTTTTAATATCGGGAATGATTTATCTGAAAAGTGTAAAACAAATAGAGGAGGTATTGAGAAAAAACCTAGACATATTTGCCAAAAGCAGTTTTTTGATCTTCAAGTATGCACCCTAGGATCTCATGAAATAGTAACGAAGCATGATGTTAATCCAACTAAGCAAAACGTATACAAAATGTCTCCATATCAACGAGAAATAGTCAGCGATTTAATATAGCACATGCTATCTGGTGTAGTTGCCCTTGAAAATCTCTGGACCTCACCTATATTGCTAGTACCAAAGAAAGAGGGGAAACATCGGTTATGTGTGGATTATCATCGTCTGAATAGTCTCACCGTCTCAGATACTTATCCCCTACCTCGCATAGAAGAAGCCATAGAAATTTTGGAAGGAAACAAACTGTATTCGATAATAGATTTAGCCTCTGGATTTTGCCAGATACTCTTAGCTGAAAATGATATATGTAAGTCAGCATTTATAATCCCAAATGGCATATATGAGTTATTGAAAATGAGATTCGGTTTAAAAGGTGCATCAGCAACTTGTCAGACGATAGATCACCAAGTTTTAGTCGATGTAAAGTGGAAGGAGGCACTTATATATATCGACGATAGTGTAGCATTTTCCAAAAACTTTCCATAACATTTGAAATTACGAAACGAATTGTTTGAAAGATTTAGAAGGTCTCGAGTGAAAGTTAAACCTGAATAATACATATTTGCCGCTAATCATATTAAGTGTCTTGGGTACATCATTGAAGATGCAGGTTGTAAAACTGACCCAGAAAAACTAAAAACAATTACTGAAATGAAAGTACCCAGTAGAGTAGAAGAACTTCGACCATTCTTAGGAATGTGTGTGGATATTTTAGATGATTTATAAAGGATTTCTCGATTATCGCCACACTATTATTCTGTTTATTTAGAACCAACTAAAAGTTTATTTGGAGAGATATCGAACAAGAAAATTTTGTACAATTAAAGGAAAGTCTATGCAACTTACCAGTTTTAACTCATTTTGACCGAGAAGGAACGTTTTATACAGGGTGTCTCAGTTAAACGTTTTTCACAACTTCTGAAAGGGGTAGGTTGCATATCGACATCTCAAAATCATATAGCAATGCAGAGTTGGGAAGTGCTTTCCTGAAGCGGTGATGTACACAGAAATAGCTAACCTCTTGTGCAGGCTTGAATAGAAATTATGGCTGGGAATACGCGTCATCGGATATTGTTCCTCGTAAAAGCGCTGTGCGGCTGGCCCACTACAATTTGCAGCCCCGTACATCAAATGTATATCGACTAACTCTACGTCCTTGTGCGAAATGATGAGTCCCTGCAAGAACGCTGGAAACTTTCACGCAACGCCATCTACCGCTTCAGAAAAACATTTGTGTCCCTGCATTGCTATATGATTTCGAGTCATCGAGATGCACTCTACCCCTTCTAGAAGTTCTGAAACGTTTAACTAAAACACCCTGTATACATACAGATGCATGAAATATAGGATTGTGAGCTATATTTCATGTCTCAAAACGATGATGAGGGAAGAGAGTATCCCGTATGCTATATCAGCGGAACGCTCAATGTCTACACACAAATGTGATGCTTTAATATAACTTACCTAAAGCAGTAACAGGTATGCACTTTCCAACAGGTAGATCTCTAGATTCTAACAAAGGTATCCATCCATTTGGATAGGCGGGAGGAAACTCATTCGTTCTTCTCGATCTATTTGTATCTTTTATTAACTGAAATCGTTTTTTACGTAATTCCCTCGCATTCATTTTTCCATCTTCATAACCGATATCAGTTATGTCCTGCGTTGATAAAGAGCATTGTTGAAAAGTGAATAATATTTTGAAATTAAATATCCGTTTATCTTTACTTACAACAACATTATTAATAGTCGAAAAAGAAAAGTAGACAATAAGAATAAAAACAAACGAGAGAAACAGTACATAAGGTTTATTTATAATTATCGTAGTGATGCATTGAAACATATCCAGAAACCCAGAATTTTTCCATAATTCCTCTGCTACACTGTCGTATATAAAGGTGAACATATTTGTTCGAATTATAATCTTTTTATTATCTGAAATAAAAAATTTAATAATATTGTTAAATAATTTATTAACTTTGCTTCATTTAACAATTATAAACAATTATTATAACAGATTATCTCAATAGGTTAGCATTGATACAGCTTGGCTTACTGTTTCAATGGTAACGATTAGTTTCACGTGGGCATTTGTTACATCATATCATACCTATAACCTTTATCGGCCAGATAAATATTTGTTCGTGAAGTTAACAGTGTGAGAGAGAGTTCAGGAAGGATTTGCTGGATCTCTCCTTTACACGTCAGAGGCGTTACACCAGCTGAGAAAAATATATATTGCGTTTCAAATCGCGACATTTTAAATTTTATTGTCTGCGAGTGGTCTATAGTAATAATTACAGTGTTGGAGCTTTCTAGGGATTTATGGGTATTACGTGAACTGACAATAGAGTCAGACGTATTTTATATTTTAATTCAAAACAATTTACGAAATAAATCATCACGTTTATTCAGATCAAAAACGAAACTTTCTATTTAATTTAGCAGCTGCACAGCCAACTTGGAATCCTGAATATGTTGGCTGGTCTGTGCACATGCAAGATGGTGTGAGAAAGAAACAGTTTTTTTGCACCTTTCTTCTAATTGAAGCACTATCATTTCTTCGATTGTATGTACCCTTCTATATAACTTATTGTTTCAATAATATACATCAATGCTAACAAATAACGTAACCAACACCTTGTTGCTTGCTGAGGAAGTTTTATTAAAATCGAACCTTTTCGATCCACTTAACGGATCATCATCAGGCAAGAATATACGAAAATGGAATACATCATAAATGGAATAATAAGTTTCAAAAATTCAAAATATCAATAAACTGATAACATATCAATTAATAAAAATAAAAATAATAAATAAAAAATAATAAATTGTAAACGATACCAAATAATAAATGATATACTACAACGACTACACATTAATACTAAGTTTCCTTTAAATCAAATAATTATCATATTTCAGTTGTTGCGCTACTTGTAAGCTTCTTAACGGCAAATTTCCAAGCCGAGGGAAGACCCTCCACATCCCTAGCATTAATGCAACTGTCCTTAAGTTTGCTCCAATATATCTAAATTTTTTCGGCCGTCTTCGCCAAAGTTGGTGAGTGTACTTGAAGTACACTCACCAAACACATGTTCAATTGTTTTTAATTTCAGAGTTTTCTTGTATGCTTCAAACAATAAAGATGAAAAGTTATTTTTGTAAATTGATTTTGATGATTGTTGTTTATGTTTTCCGATATTCTTACAGGTAAAAGTCATTTGCAACATATTCATGAAATGTGGCACTGATTCATCCATGCTGAATCATTTCTACCTGCAGCAAATCCAAGTGAAACTGAATCTCCAACATTCTTTGTAATTCTATTTTATGGGAACACTATCATAGGTTCCACTGATTAGCTACTTGCAGAGAAATTATCAAAAACTTTATCAAACTTTATCAAAAAATTATCAAAATTTCCAGCCCTTATATTTTCAATAGCACGCCCTTCAGGTAAAAAAACGGGAACCTCCTTCGTGGATGGGGATAGAGGGCTACCACACCATATAACTCTTTTGATCGTACCGGGACTCTTTTTTGAGTTTTAGCGGCACGCACATTGTACGCTTGCCTATATTATATATATTTATTAACATTTTTACTGTTTCATAAAATTCGTCTCTACACTAAAATTAAAATTTAAAATTTTCTGAATTTTAAAAACATGAATAATGTAATTTTCATAAGAAATTCGCCTAAGAGATAGCGCTACCGATCATTTTATTTATTACGCTTCGTATTAGGAAACACTTTTTATAAATTAAAAACTCATAACAGCGATATATGTAACTGGAACGAATTATTTTTTATTTTCTACACTTAGTAACGGTTAGACATTATTACGATGAGAGAAAACACGAATTGATTATAACAATACAATATACAAAGTATTCGTTAATTTAATAAAAAAGCACAGAAATATTTAAATGCTTCTCTTTTACTATAACACATAAATTAATTTTTTAAATTTCAAATTATTTATTTCAAGAGATATTAAAAAATAACTATACCAGTTATAAATTTTAGCAATTAGTTAGAAAATTCATTTGAAAAGAAAACGAAAACGTTGAAAAATACAATTTATACTTAATTTTTCAATAGAAAACTGCATCTTTCGATCATGAAACTATACTAAAAATAAAAATATTATATAACGGGAAAGGAAAGACATAAATATAAGAAATTTACTTTAATTTTGAGTTAAGTCTCCAATTACAAAGTTAGATTAATATAAATCGTTATTTATTAATAAAAATCATTCACAAACTTTTAAATTTACAGAGTGGCTATTTATAAATACAGCGTGTATACGAAATTGGCTATTTAACACTTTTAAAGCCGTAAAGATGACAGTTTTAATGTTGTTTATAATTTAGGATAGACTAATTTTTGATTATAGATATTTTAATTATTATATCGATTATCGAGAAATAAGATTTAAATCATCGAAATGAGTATTAAAAATAATGGCATTGAGGAAATTCTTGATAGCAAAATATCAAAATTTTATAATACATCGGTAAAAACATGTTCTTGTTCGTTTTGGAATTCTTTTAGTGCATCATGTAGTCATATTCTTATAAAAAGAAAATATAATAATTTGGACATATTTTCAAAAATTGCTTTCATGCAAGATATATTATTTCAATTGAAAATGCACAAAGTATGGATCAAGATAAGGTAAATGTAGACATCGATGATCGTATTGAAGATGAAACTTTTATCAATGATTTTTGATTGTCCCGACAAAATATATGGGATATGGAAAAATTTAATACGGCAATGGCGATAACTAAAAATATTGCAGATATTTTGTATAATTATGGAACGAAAACCTTCAGTAATTACGTAGAGGAATTAAAAGTAATAGAAAGCATTGCAAGAATTGAAATTTCTCATTATAAATTTGAGAGTAGTGGGCTTAGTACAATTAAACAAGAAGAATCTGAAGAACAAATTCGGTCTAATAATGAGCTCTATGCAAATCAATGAACTAAAAACTTAAAATTCAAAACTAAAATTAAGAAAGGATTCGTAAATAAAACGGTAACGACGTGCTGTAATAAAAAAAAAAGATCTATATATTCCCACTGTCGTTTGTCGGTCTGTTTATGTCTTTTCTTATTCTTGAGAATGGAGTTAGAGCAGATATCAGATATGGAAAACTTAGGGTACGAGGCCCGAATTAGCTAGCTACATACACACTTAGAATGTAAAACAATTCGGAAATTCATAAATTCCCGTCCCCTAACAGAGTTACATAAATGACCAGCACGACTCTATTGTTATAAGGGGAAGTACGATATACTAAAGCGAGACACTACTAATTTCAGGTGAAGAGCGTATACTTAAATGAATTAATTTAAAAATATAATTCAAAATTACAGCCCGGATTTGTGACGATGCCACAATAAATAATTGCAGATTTTTATGTACATTTCAATAGAAAATAAGTAATCGAGGATGTATTTATCGATGACCTAATTTTGCCCTTTTTAACGTGACTTGTACTTCGAACCAAAGTCATTTTTTATCGACATATAAAATCGTTATATCTGACCTTTCTCCGGTAGAAAACAGGAGGTTGCGAAGTTTTAACTTCTAACACTAATCTTGAATCAGCTGTAAATTCGGCCGTAAAGGAATTAAATCAGGTAAGAATTTTTCATATGCACAATATTCAGAGGAGCATCCGAAATTGATTTACTGCATAATGTTTTTTACGTATTATTCCACATATATTGTATATAATTACTCTGATTTAATTTGTAAGATTCTGACTGTTGCAGTCCACTTATAAAACATAATAAATTCTTCAGTTAGTTGATATTCGCTTTTTTAATTTATTAGACATATGAAAAAATGTCTTTAATTAGAAATGCAATTTAGAAAAATAGCAGACGTATAAATTTTGTGGTCGTCTGTTCACTGCCTGTTTGTTCTTATTCTCTACAACGAAATTAGACAGCTGAAAGACAGAACCATATGTATAAAGCTGAAAAGCAGTAAGCCCCAATTAACGATATACAAACTCCTCGTGCAAATTGGAAATTACATTCTTATTTGAATTCGTTAGTTTTCACACGGAATATAATATTTGTAGCATTACACAAAACATTAAATAAGTAAATACTCAAACCATTTGACGACATATTCTTAGGCCTAAGAATAATTTACTTTTAAACTTTTAACTATAAACAGAGTGATGGGAGTCATGTATCAATCTTCTTTTAGGGAGAAGTATTTGACTTTGTTGCAGAATAGAATTACAATAGAGCATCGATTATCCGACTCAATTGAAGACTCAGGTTGGTCGGATAACTGAAAAAATCGGATAACCGAAAAGAAGGAAAAAAATACATTATTAGTATAGTATATTAGGATATTAGTATATCCCACGTAATTAGTTTATTAGTACATCGCTATTAATTAACTTCGCATTGAATTTTCATCGTTGTTTAGCCTAACAATTTTTTTTTCAAAAATAATAATCGTCGCTATTGTATCGTTAAAAATTATTTTAAAGTTATTTTATTGCCCACGAGACAAACAACCACTCATAATTAGAAAATTAAGTCTGGTTTAAATATTGGCCTCCCTTCCATGGTCGAGCTGTTGATGCCAGCTAAAACACGCAAAAATTTAACGAAAATAATATTAAAGTAGCCAAGGCATAGCTAAATATTGTAGTGCCACATCACTAGCGGACATTTGAAATTTGCCGACTAGAAAGATCGGTAAACCGATGTGACGGTTAATCGGGGGTCGGATAATAGATGCTCTACTGCGGTGATTCTCAACCCCGGGGGGGGGTACAGTACATGTACTTCTAAGGGTATGAGCATAAATTGAAGGGGTACATCTAACTTTCATTATAAAATGGCTTATGTTCATCAATTTGCTGTAAATTATTAACACAATAAACAAGAAACAACAAAAACTTGCTTTAAAATATCCCAGTGTAAACACCGATTTCCCTTTTAACAGTCTAAACAACTTGTTTATCCACTTGATTTTCTTGTGTATTTGTGCCATTAGTACCGAGTGAACCTGTAGTCTAGTAAAATTACGGTTTAACCGAGGATTAATTTTAGAATAGAAATTTTTTTTTTATTCTATAATTATTGCTCGATAAGACTGGGGCTTTNACTTGATTTTCTTGTGTATTTGTGCCATTAGTACCGAGTGAACCTGTAGTCTAGTAAAATTACGGTTTAACCGAGGATTAATTTTAGAATAGAAATTTTTTTTTTATTCTATAATTATTGCTCGATAAGACTGGGGCTTTTCGTGTTTTTACTGGACTACTGGTATTAGGAATAATGAGGCTTGGATCGTACCCCAACCATGCAATGCGTGTCACTGAATGCGAGCATTACTTGGCATTTAGCAAATTTAGACGTTACATTTGTTACAAAATTTGAAAGAATCGTGTATTGTTCTGCACGTTATAAATTCGCAGCCATTACTTTCAAGGTGAGTACACAATTATAATCTCTATTTAACAACGTGGGAACCAAAGTTTGAAAAAATTCCTGAAGATTTATCGCGACAAATAGCCCATTAAATTTTGTTAAAAATTACGGTATTGTAGAATGATTTAAATTTTCTTTATCGTTAATTATAATTATTTATTTTTAGGAATTATAATTTATGCATGTATTAAAATGACTTCTGTGATTTTATATAATATACTTGTTAAATAATAATAAATAAATGTATGTACCTGATTAAATTTATTATTATTAAAGTAAAATAAAAAATTCAGTTTTAGTTATAGTTAGTTAGAGTTTTCTTATGGCGCTTAGTTATAAGGGCTGTGTACATCTAACGCAGTAATTATAAAATTTACATACAAAAATATAAAAGGTACTTGAGAAACAACTAACGGGCTAATGGGGTACATCAACAAAAAACGTTGAGAACCACTGCTCTACTGTATATGAAAAATTTTCTTGTATGAGAAAAATTACTTTGTATAATATTAAAGTGTTTACAGTAGACCCCCCTATAATTATGGTTCCTATAATTACGATTCCTATAAAACTGCGAAAAAATTGCGACGGTATCCGTAAAAAAGGTAAAAAACTC